TTTTTTTTTTAGTATGAGCTGACATCTTTCAAGGCTAGCAAACTCAAAACCTTTGTAAACCTTGGTTGCAACACATTTACACTGAAGCTGCCTTCAAAATAAAAGCAATAAAACCTGTATTGTCATTTCCAATAAAATCACTAGTTTATCAAATAAAGTTTGTTAGTTGAAATGTGAAAAACAGAAACTGATGCATGAAGTGTGCTTATTTGTATTTGAATCCTAATTTTCCATCCACCTCACGTGGGCTGGTCAGGTGGGCGTGGCCATATTATTCCCAATTCTTTCATAGAGGATCTGATCTGTGGAATTTTCCCTCCAAAATAAAATAAGGGCCATGAGATGCTTGTGTAAATAAAATTCATTAAAAAACAGTCAAAGAGCAAACTTTTGTTCCCATCATAGATGATTTTAACAATAATCTAAAAGGCCGTATGTTTAAAACACAAGTGAGACCAAAAATAAGGATTTCCACTTTGGGAGCAGGGAAAGTTGTGCCAGAAATTCCAGTGTGCACTTGATATGAATAGAATCCATCTTTTAAAAAACCTGCAAACTAGATAGACTCAGACTCAGATAAAATGACACTCTCTCTCAAAGACACCAACGTTTAATCTGTTAATTAACGCCTGAGATTCAAAGAGTGTTAATAATTGTTTACAATCTGAACTGTTAATTGGATTTTTCTTTAGCAGGCAGAACTGAAACGTAAACCTCTCCACTGTGTCTTCCTGATTAAACCACCAGATTATATTTTACACAGCACTCTTTCTCCCATACAGCGTGATAAAGAGACTACAGCATGGCGCAGCAGCATAAACACACTCGCTCTCGGGCATCCTTTATGAGAGCATAACTGTAACTGTATTCTTGTTTTCCCATCTCGACCATTATGGTAAATGTTTACCTCTTGCTGTACTTTCCCCCGAGGCAGCTTAGATTTCCCAGGTCTGGCGTCGTGAGGCTCGGAGCCCCGGCTGTGCCGAGGCGCGTGCTGCCTGTGCATCTGTCTGTTTGTGTTTTTGTTAAACATTTAGCTCTCAGATTGAGCAAAGATAATCAGTGGCACCCTGCAGTTTCAGTCTAAAGCTTGCATGTTTCACATTTATTAAAGGAAGTTTTTAACGGCAGCTGTTTCCAGCTGAACCGTGAATGCAAAAGTCGGTAAACGCTTAGTTTAATGAGACAGAAAAAAGCAAAGATGCATTACTGGATTCTGATTGGCTTGCAGCACAATCGAAGTGAGAAAGGTTATAGCTGGTGTAAAGGTACTGCAGATAAAAGCAGTGTGGATGAATAGAGCTTCTTTAGATACTCGGCTGTTTTCACATAATGTCATAGTTCTGGACCCAGTTAATTACTCTACCCAGTGTAAAGACTCCCCTGGTTCCTCTACTCAGGTTCCAGTTTTCAACCTCGCAAGCAATTTCTAGTCTTTCCAGGCTTTCTTAGTCTCAAGGACTGTTTTCTGTCATAGACTGGGCATTTCTCACATTTCTCTCGCTTACTCACAGACCGACCTCGACCAGAAATATTAAACTTACACATACCTGCTGTTTCCACGTGCAATTTTAAAAACATTTAACACATCATTCATAATCTTCCTTTTATTCCAAGAAGTCAGACGATGGCCTTTTCACCTTGATTTTATTAGTGCAAAGATTTTACGGTTTATTTTTTACGTTTTTTAAGAAGAAGGCCAAAGGCCACTTTTGGTTGCTTTAAGGCAGGGTTGTCAAACATAAGGCCTGGGGCCCAGAAATGCCTCGGCAGAGACTAATCTGGCCCATTCGATAGCTTTGGAATATGTGGATAGATTTGGGATTTTTAACTGTGTTTTAATAAGTTTTACAGCTTTTTCTCCTGATTAAGACTTTTTCTGCTTTACAAAAGTAATTAAGTAACAGATAAATAATTAAATGACAGAAAAGTTCCTGTCTTGGGTCCAGATTGAAAAAGACAGCAACTATCTCCTCTTTTTTATTTACTACAACATTTCTTCAACGTTTAGAAAAACTGAAACGTCTTTTTCTTATATTAAGACATCTCATTAATTTTAAATGTGTAGTTTTACTTCTTTACAGTGACACAAAGGAGCGTTTCACCGGTCTGGCCCATTCAAGATTAAATTGAGCTGCATGTGGCCCATGAAATAAAATGAGTTTTACACCCCTGCTTTAGGGAATTATAAAATTTTTCATTTTTTGGTGGGAAATTTTAAGCGACTCAGCTGGTCTAATAACATAATAGATGTATAAAATATGAAAAATAACAGTCATTTCATTGTTCTGTTCATAATAATCAGTGAAATAGATTTTTTTAAAATCTAGAACGTTAATGCGATGAATAAAAACTCGAGTGTGGTCTCTTCTGACACGGCTGCTTGGCGATCCACACGTGAGATTATGTCTTTAAATATGCTGATTAGCCATAAGTATCAAACCACTCACAGGGCAGGTGAATAACATTGATTACCTGATTACAGTGTAATAGGAACCCAACCTGTCAGCCTCAGCTACCCCCTCTCATTTCTGCAGTGTATCATAGTTATTAGGGGTTCAATAAATCCTAGCTCTGTTTACATATTTCCAAATCTTTTAAGAAGCATAACTACAGCAAAGTGGTGCATTGCTGCGTAACTGTTTGGTCAAAAGTCTTATTAAAACTGTATGTTAGTCAATTACGAACATGAAACTTTAATATTTATAAGCTTGTTTTTGTATTATTTTCCCACTGGGCTCGAGTCTCTGTTGCAGACATGTCCTGATCTCTTTCAGAGCTTGTCATCGCACTAAGAACTTTATAAACCTGCATCTTAACTGGAGCTGATTGATTATCCGTCATACTGCTCGTTTGCTGTTTAACCATCTGCAGGATCCTCTCACAGGTATGATTAAGACTGAACTCTGATACTAATGGTGTGTTTTTTTTCTGTATCTCTCCCCAGGAGCTTGTAGCTATGAGGGAGCGCTGCATGCGGTAGGTACACCAACTCCTTTTGTACTCTCCTACCTCTTGCCTAGCACCGCTTTAAATCTCCGTCCCTACTGTTCACAGAATCCGTTGTGTTTATATGGCTTAATGGGTCTTAGCTCGTGCATTATTCACTGGAGACTTGAGCAGCTTGGTGCGACTGACATTTGAAGCTCTTACCTGTGTGTGTGTGTGTATTTGAGGATAGGCGGTACGAGGGATTATCGGTAGGAGTTGCTGCGCATCCTCTGTTGTTTGAGAAGTAGCTAAGAAGATGTGTCTCATCAATAATGCATGGAAGATCCCGGCTTTGTGTTTGATAATGGCGATAAAAGAGCGCGATGCAGGGTCACTAGCAAAGATGAGCTGCTGTCTCCTGCTGTGCTGCCAATTGAAAGTTAGGCTGTTCTAAAAAAAAAAGTTTAAAAGAAGTTTATGATGAGCTTTGCTCCTTTGGTTCTGCTGGGTATTGGCTAACATCCAGCGCTTCGCTCTAAGGTGTGCTTCTGCTTTATATTCTTTAAACCCGGCTGCTGGTTACTCATCTTTGCTTGAGAGTTATTTTAATGTTTAAAGTTGTCGTGTTTGGCTAGAGGCATCATCAGATGAGGAGTGGTTTTGTTCCTCTGTGCAGGCAGCCGGGGGTTGCCCACAGATGTAATTTATATGATTATAAACTCAGACCAGCTTATTAACTTTTCCCCTTACACCACACGGGTGCACTCTTCTGGTTTCAGTCTGTCTGCTTGATCCTGGGACCGGGTATTGATGAGCTCTTCACAGAGACGCAGTGGGAAAAGTGGGTGATGTTGGGTGATGACTTTTGCAAGAGAGAACCATGGCGGTAAATCTAATAGACTCCAAAGAGCCAATCAACAGTTACATTCTGAAACATATGGGCCAATCATGTTGCTTTACTAGCAAAGAGGTTGTTGTACCTGTGTGGCAGCAGAGGTATCTGCTTGTTATGATAGTAGAGATGTAAGTAAGTGTATGATGTTTGTTGGATAACCATAATGTGCATTTGTGTAATCCCATGAGCAGAAAGGATTGTTTACTTTTTCAGTCCCAGTGAGCACTTGGAATGGAAGCTGTGGCTCTCACCCCGATATGATAGATAGAGATTTAGCAAACCTGCAAACCTTTGTCAAGTTGCTGAGCTGCAGGAGTTGCTTCTGGTTTGGCAAGTTAGTGCTCGAACTGGTTTTGGTTAAGATCAGGGTTCTTTGCAGGTTCGTTCTTGGGCTTCCACACCATATTTCATATTAAAAAAAATGAGGACAAACATAAAGTGGACATACTTTGCAGTTTTTAAAGCATATTTCAGTCAGAATCATGAAAAATAAAGTTTATTTTTTATCTGTATGGCTCTGTTCTGGGACTTCTGTGACCTTTCTTGAACTTAAATGAAAAGCTCAGCGAGGGCAGAGCAGCAACAAGATTAGCATTACTGAACAGAGTAAGCATCAATAACAACAAACACTGCAGTGATTGAATCTGGTAAAGAATAAATGAGGATCTGGGCTGGAGGTGGGTTGCAAAGCAGCTTGCAGATACTCAGCAAGAGGCTTTGGCTATCAGCTAATGTGGACTGGCACTAAAATCAGCACTAACACTGTCCTTTAGCTTTAGGAGTTCCCTTCATGGGGGTTAGACGGTGGAAAACATTTGACTGTATCCTTTATGTCATAATATATACGTAGAGATAGTGGGTGGAGTCAAAAGACCATTTTTTGATCTGACTACATTTCGCTAATGCTTTTTCAAATGTTTAATGTCGTTATCTTTCTTTGTTTAATGTCTGTCTTTCAGCTGTCTGTTGAAAGCAGCTGCATAAAAAAAAATTATCATGAAATGTGCACAGTGAAAATACACATATTAAGCCAAAACAGGTTTGAACTGGGCAGAACTGGGCAGGTGTAACAGGGGTGGTCATAATGCTTTGCCTCATCAGAATACACTTTTCTTTGAAGATTTTATATATTTAATAAAAACCCTGATTTGTTTTTTTCCCTGTGAGTTACTCGACTTTAACCTTGGCTGAAAGAGCCGCGAGTCTTTAAAGAAATTTGTCAGCCAGTTTTAAGTGAAGACTTCTGAGGGTCTACATGATGTTTCTAACGCTTTTCCTTCCCGAGGCTTCTTAAAGAAAGAAAAGCTGACCTGTTAAAGTCATTCATTATTAGCACAGCTTGCACTTTGAAACGATTCAGCCTTAACATATCTTTTTCTCCTTTTAGCAGTTGAACCTGAGGAAAAACAAAAGAAAAGAAGGAAATTTGCTGCTGTGCACTTTGTGTCTTGGTAAATGGTAAACTCTCTTAAAAAGCCTTAAACAAGGGTCTCAGCAGTAGAGTTGCGGTTCCCAGGTAGACTAATGATGAGCTCCTGCTTCTTTCCTGCTGTGTCATCAGTGTAATTACAGCAAAGCTCAGAGCAGCAAGCTGTAACATACCTGCAATCCTGTAAATGCACACAAACACATCCTGTCCCCTGTGTTACTTTTCCCTCCGCTTTGAAGGAGGGGAATGTTTGCAGCAGGGCCGTAAAGACAGGGACGGCTCAGTTAGTGTTTTAGGAGGGAAAAGGGGGGAGGAGGAGTGAGGGTGGAACAGAGGGGAAAAAGGAGAGGGCAGAGAGACGGGAGGGACGTCCCGGCATGTTCGAACGCAGCTGGGAAAAGGCCCTCCTGGAGTTCAAAGTAAGTGGCGGCCCCTCAACACCTGGAGTGGTGGGCCCATAGAAACAAATGTGCAAAAGAAACACACGGATTAAAGTGCAGGTCTCGGTAAAAGCCTGCAGGGCTTTCTGTGTGTTTGGTTCTGTGGTGAAAATAATCACAAGTCCTCGGTGTCCTCTTTCTTCTTTTTCCAGACTTTAATTTCTTTATTTGATTTGGTTTGATTTATGCCAATAATAACTCTGTCAGTGCCTGAACAAAGATCATTCTGATCACTCGTCACAGCTAAATTAAAAAAGACAGATTATAAATATAAATAAATATGAGCTGACAGGCATTTTAAACCACAGACCTATTTCATATCAGGTCAGTGAGCCAGTTTTCCCATATGTTTCTCAGCGACTTCCTGCAGCTAGCGCTTTAGCGATTTCATGGTTAAAGTCGTACGTTGACATTGTGACCCTCATGTAAAGTTTGACAAACACAGCAGTTTTATTTTTTACAACTTGTTCTCACACGTTTCATTTACCCTCTCTGGCCTGCTCAAATACACAAGGTTTTACTCACGCTGTGTGGTTTGATTGATCGGTCAAACATGAGTTAATGTTTTTCCCACGTCCGAGTATTTTTTATACATTTCAGGAAAAGTGTCACAGTTGGCTTCACTGCATGAAAAACTGGATTTCCAGCCACATGAACTGCCATGAGCCACTGTTTCAGTAAAGAAAAGTGAAGACTTATTATTATTAGTAGTAAAAGTAGTGCATTTACTAAGGGCTTTGACATCCAGTATGCATGTGTTCATGTTGTTATCATCATATAGTTTAACTGTCATCAGGGACATGAATGATTAACAGGAAACTAAAACGTTTAAAAGGAACTGAATCAGAGCTTTATTAAAACTCTAAGATTCCAGGAAATTAACTCTGATTTCCACAGTCAGTCGCAGATGTAGGCTGTATCCCAATTCAGGGTCTGCAGCCTTAAAGGCCGCATTTTAAGGCCGATTACCCCAATTCGGAGGCTGCTCGAAATGCGGCCCTCAAATGCGTCCTTCATTTCCCAGAATTTTAAGGACGTGGCGGTGTAGACTTCGTGGCCCAACATATCCCAGAAGGCATAGCGCGGCGGTGGGTGTGGATAATTTTGCTGAAAAAAAACGGCGGATGAGGGGCGCCCGAAGAGTAAACTTTAAGTAAGTACTGAATATTATGTCACTTATTTATGTGCAAATGTTTACTAACGAAGATCATTAAAACATTACTGTTGGCCACATGTCGGCAAAGTTATGTGACATTAGTGACGTTTGTACTAACTTGGTTTTAAAGCCTTTACTTTAAAATATACGCCGTTCAATAGCTGAGCTTGATCAGAGAATGATCAAAGCTCATGTAGAAACAAACAAACAAATGAACAAAAGATTTTCTCCTGTCAAACAAAGCTGTATGAAACGTTTCCAGCTGTTAGTATCATGGTTGCTAGGCAACCTGGACGGAGGCTAGACCGTCCCATTTCACAAGCCTCGCACTCGGTCTTTGAGTACGCGGCCCTTGTGGACCGTTAAGGCTGCGTACTTTAAGGCTCCAGACCCTGAATTGGGAAACAGCCATAGATTACAGGACATGATCTTCCCTTGCTGGATCCTCTTAGTGAGCCATGATTTCATGGTCTACAGGTATACATGTAACTGGGTTTCTAAAAGGATTTTTAGACGTTTGCATCTGCATACCAAAGCGTTTTCACACAAATCTCAGTAATACTTGGATAAATGTCAGCGGACACTCCTCTTAATCTTTGAATTCAGGTGTTTTCAGTCTCATTGCCATATGGTATAAAAGGAAGCACCTCACGGCTAGGTGCTTGACTGAATTTGTGGAAGCATTCACAGCACCACAGCACTAAACTGCAGAGCACCATGTGCCGTAAAAGTCGCCAACTCTCTGCTGACTGAGTGACTGCAGAGCTTCATGACATGGGTCTCAACGGCTAAGCAGCTCCTGTAGGTGTAATGCATGAGTTCAGATAGCGCGTATAAAAGATGAACTATGCTTTCTAAAAGCAGTTCTTTGAAGCTGCATTCTTGCTAATGGCCAGCAGGGGTCGACTTCTCTGATGTTGTGATTTATTCATAAAAGATTTTTGAATAAATTCATGGTCTCAGTTGCTGGGTCCAAGTATTCATGAATACAGTAGTATACTTTATGTAAGTTAACGTCCCCATTAGAGTAAAAAAGGTAAAGATAAAAGGGCATGGTTTAAAGTGTCCTTTACAAGTTGCTAAGATATGAACGTGCAGTTTCACATATTCAGAGACCTCACTAACTAA